ACACACACACACACACACACACGTACAGCGCGCGCGCGTACACACATCCGTGCTCTTACGATGTCCCATATTATGGAGATGTCACCGTAAAACTGTCTTGTCACCTTCTAAAAGCGGGTAATGAAAATGCTATTTGAAAATCCAACAAAGCGATTTAGATTCACAAACGCATTCAACCTCTCCACAGTCCAGTTTCTTACCATCCCGGAAAACTGCATACCCGAGAACAACTCTAGATGATAGTACGGTCGAAGACCTTCTAACTTAGTACCAAAGGTCAATAAATTGCCAAAGCGATAAATATTATATATGTATCAAAAGCAGAGAATGTCTACATCGCAATAATAGGTCATAACCTCAAAATAACAAAACTCAATAAATTACCTGCGTGATCAGTATTACATTTCAACAGATAAGATCCAAGCTTACATCCCACAATCGGTCCCAAAACAGAAAGATTAGTACGGCGTGGCTTTCACGCCCACTCCAACACTGTAAGGACATTTAGTTACAGAGCGTCCGATTTTAACTTTAACCGATAGGACAAGTAAAATAAGAGTTTTGAAAATGCTGCCCCTCCTTTCGAGATTCGAACCAGGGTCATTACACAGCACAACACAAAGGTATATACCCGAACACAGTCTAACAAAACAGCCATACTCTGAAATCAAAGTTAATACAAACGTATCAATTTACACGTTGGAAATAGTCAAAGCATACCCCAATAAGTGCAGAGTTATGGAAAAAGACCTAATATAGCAACTTTCCCCCTACGGTGTTTGATGGTTCATAATCCTGATCTTATTCGTTATATTTATTTCAATTCTAATTCTATTCTACGTAATAGTTATTTCTAACATTGGCGGAGCTTTCTCAAGAAAATTTATTCAGCAAAGAGATCTATTATTAGCTCGTCAGTTTGTTGTGATCCACCAAGTGGGAATTTCCGGATTGACTTGCAACACGACACTGTGTTATAAACAGTTCAAGTAGCAACAACAACAACAACAACAACAACAACATCAATAGCAATAATAATAATAAAAATAATAAGTAATTAACGAAGAAGAAGAAGCGTTAGAAGAAGAAGAAGAAGAAGAAGAAGAAGAAGAAGAAGAAGAAGAAGAAGAATAAAACCGTACTAACAATTTTAATTACGATAATAATAAAAAAAATTAATAATAATCATGATAATGATTATTATATGATGATTACATTACACATAACTGACTAGATCATTAACGAGTAACATTTCAAAGATTAAAAATTCATTTCTGAAAGTTCAACCCCATCATTACAA